GTCTAGGGGCCCTGGGAAACCCCCCCAGGGGCTCTCGGGTCCGATAGTGGAGACCCTTGCGTCCCCTCTCGCTCTGTGCGAGTTGAGGGTTGCTCTGTCCCTTTGTCTCAGGATGACTCTCCTTGTTTTTGCCTCCGTCATGCTGCCTGTTGGGTCGGTGACACATTCGACCCTGGGTCCTGCGAGCTTTGTTGCTTGTTCGTGACTCCATTCACCCAGTCTGCTGATGAATTCCCGTGGGTGCAGGCAGCTCGCGTGTTGCAGGGTAGGATGTTGCAACGTGCTCAGGTTTGTCGCTTCCCTGGACGCCCCGATGCTGCCCCGCTTGTGTAGGGACCCAGACTAGGGTGTTTTGGTCGCTTCAGCCTTGGTTCTTCCAAGCCCCCCTTGTTTTTCCCCCCTCCTGCTTCTGGCCCCTACACATCTGCAGGCTTCGGGGGCGGGGCGGGGTTAGAGGTTCTGAGACTTGGGCAGTTTCGGGGGTTGCCCGTCCGGGGTAGCTGCAGAGGGATTCGAGTCTGTTCCTCCGGCTGATGCTCCGGGGTCTGACCAGTGGGCCCCTTCTCTTTCAGCTCTCTCAGCTGCCCCGGCTTTTTCTTGTGGGGCCGGGGCTTTGGAGGTCGACTCGGCCTCGGGGCCTGGTGTAGAGGCTCCTGGGGTTGGGGAGGAATGGCCTTGGGGGCCTTGGGGTCCATTGCGCCCCGCCTGGATTTCCGCCCTTCTGAGCGGGGCTTACTGTTGCGAGGAATGGGGTTTTCTTCCCCCCCTCTTCATACGATTTGGGCTTGGGTTCTGCTCCTCCCCGGGTTCGGTTCCGTGTCCCTGTGGTTTCTTCGGTTCTGTCTTCCGGAGGTTTTCGGCTAACCACATCTCTTTGCCTGCGGTGCGGTTGGCCTTTGCGGCTTACCTCCTGCGTGTCCCGGAGTTTGCCTCCATACTGGTTCCTTCTGTTCTGGACAGGTTGGGCTCCTTTGTAGCCGTTTGGGCTCTTTTGTACACGTTTGGGCTCTTTTGTACACGTTTGGGCTCCTTTGTCGCCATTGGCGCTCCTTTGTCGCTGTTTGCGCTCCTTGTAGCAGTTTGAGCTACTGTCGTCAGTTGGGCTGCTTGTCGCCGGTTGGGCTCCTTCTCGCCTTGTTGGGCTCCTTCTCGCCTTGTTGGGCTCCTTGTAGCCGGTTGGGCTACTTCTCGCCTTGTTGGGCTCCTTCTCGCCTTGTTGGGCTCCTTCTTGCCTTGTTGGGCTCCTTGTAGCCGGTTGGGCTACTTCTCGCCTTGTTGGGCTCCTTGTAGCCGGTTGGGCTACTTCTCGCCTTGTTGGGCTACTTCTCGCCTTGTTGAGCTACTTCTCGCCTGGTTGGGCTACTTCTCGCCTGGTTGGGCTACATCTCGCCTGGTTGGGCTACTTTCGCGTCCTGCGCATGCGCCGTGGGAGTTTGTTTTGATTCCGGGCGGTGTGCACACGTATTCCTCATCCCATTCTCTCGGAGGTCTTCGCCTCTTGCTCTTTTCTTGATCCAATCCGTGCCCCGTTGCTTTGGGGGTGTTTTGGGGTGCCGCTGTGGGAAAGTCACGAGGTTTTTCCCTGCGTTCTAGAGTGGGGAGCCTCCTTCGCTGCTCCCCTCCTCTCCAGCATGGGCGCCCTGGCCGCCTCCGGCTGATACGGACTCGAACGCTTGCGTCATGGCCCTTCAGCGCCTATGTTCTGCAGATCAGTTGGTGCGGTTTGGCGTCTCCTTCGTCCTGACGCTGTTTTTGTTTTTGGGAGTAGGAATGGGTATACATACGTACTTGAGAACGTAGACTGTATCACCCAAGGTGCCTACTGCAGGGCTATTAGCCCATACTGGGCAGCTCTTGTTCTCTCCACCTGATTCCTTCCTCGGTTCACGGGTGTCTGCGGGTGGCCTCTTGGCCCTTCCGAGGCAGCTCCTGCCTGTACTCCTCTTGCCCCTCTCCTATGCTTGTCTAACCTTGCTTGAGTTCGGGGCCCCGCCTCCACCTTGTTCCGCAGTGCAACGGTGGGGGTGCCTGTTTGGTAGTACGTTTTCCTGTGTCGGAGGTTTCGTGTTCGCCTCCTTGTGCTTGCAGGTTGGGTTCTGGCTCTTTGGTTCCGCCTCTCCCCTGTCGTTTGCCTGTTGGGCGGATTCTGTGCTTCTTGGGCGCTCTCGTCTCTGCTCTTGGGGCTGTGTATGGGGTCAGCCCATGTTGGGCTGCCTTCTGTGTTCCTTTGTTTGCCTGTTACACTGCACACGTTTCTTCTACCGTCCCTGTGGCTCAGTTGGGTGCTCGGTTTCCGCCTGTGTCCCCTTGTGTGCCACTCGTGTACGGTTTATCTATCTTCTCTGTCGCTTCCTCGGGGAGTATGGTGACATTTTGCTGCGGTTTTGGTACTGCAGCTGCCTGTCGGGGTTGGTTGTGGGGTTATGTTCGGCCCTTCCGTGCTCCCTCTGGGGCTCTCCTTCCTTGCCGGTCTTGCTGTGCCGGGCCTGGTTTTTCCATGTTCCTTGGGTTCTGTCTTGTCCTCGCCTCATTGTGATGCCTGGGGATGTGCTTGAGGTTTTCGTCTCGCCCCTCGCCTATCCTCCGGTTTCGATTCAAGTTCCAGAGCCTAGTGGGCTCCCTTCCTTCGTGTTTTTCACGGCTGCCCCGGGGTTTTTCTTGACGCTGGGGCTTTGAAGGGACAGCTCTGCCCCGGGGCCTGCAGGGTGGGACTAACGTAAGGGGCCTCAGGCCCCGTTGGTCCCCGCCGGGGTGATTCTACCCCTTTGGGCGGGGCTTGTAGTTTTGTGGTGTGGGGTTTTTCCGTTCCCCCTCTCCGCATGTGCTTTGTGGGCGTCGGCCCCTCCCTGGGCTCGGTTTCCTTGTCCATTGTGCCCGTTGTTTCTGTCCTGTCGGTGGGTGCTTTTCTACAGTCTTCGCCCCTTTTCTCCGGGACGGGCCTTCTCCGTCGTGTCCCCCTCTTCTTGGGGTTTCTGCATGACTTTTGGTGTCGGGTGCGACGGGGCTTTTGTGCCTTCGTCCTTTGTGTCTGCTTCTTTTTGTTCTCGAAGGTTCGGGACGGTTTTGCTCCTTCCCGTTTTCTGGTATGTCTGTCGTCATTCGGTTGAGCTTCCCTCCGGTCCTTTCTAGGGCTTGTGGGTCCTCTTCCTGGCAGCTTCTGGGTGTTTGGCCTTCTTGTTCTTTTGTGCTACTCTCTTCTCTTCGTGCTGTCTCGGCGCTACTCGTTTTCCCGGGGGCGATTTTGCTCCTCTTAATGAGTCTTTTCGCTCCTGCCCTTCTGCGGGATGTTGGTGCAGGGCGGCTCCTGATGCAGGTTCCTTCCCGGTCAGCTGCACTTGTGTCGGTGGACTTGCACGCTTGTGGCATTTTCGTTTTGGTTCTGTGTTTTTATTTTCCCTCCTGGGGCTGTCATAGGATTGGCTTGCGGAGGATGCAGAGGCGCTTGGGGCCGTTCCTGGGTCTGGCACCTTGGTTTCTGCTGCTAGCTTTCGGTATCGATATTCCTTCGCCGTTTCGCAGGCTGTATCGTGCGTTGTTTCACCTCCGGCCTGCTTATGCACTGCCTGTGTCATCCTGGTCTTTGGACAGGGTGCTCTCCTGTTTTTCTTCTCCTTGGTGGTTGTGGCTCCTTGGGGTCAGATTTGCTTTGCCTCGGCTTTCTTTTTATGTTGGCATTGGCCTCTGGGGGTCGTGTGGTAGAGCTTCTTGCTCTTCTCAGGTGCAGTGGTTTTTGGCTCCTATGGTCGTGCTCGTAGGTTTCTTCGTCTGCGGCCGTTCTCCCTTTTTTCTGGCGAATGATGTGCCTGCTGCTTTCCGGAGGGGTCCTTGGGTTGTTGTCTCGACTTTGTGTTGAGGAATGGTTCACCGACCGCCTCCCGGGTATGTCCCCTTGTTAGGTAGTCTTTGGTGAAGTAGTTCCGGGGAGCCGTAGGGGGCTCCCCCCAGAAAACCAACGTTGGATGTAATGAACACCGTTTTCTGGGCGAGTCCCGGAGGCTCCCCGGCACCCTCCCGCCCCCCGGTCGGCGGGTTTTTTCGCAGTTTTGATATCCAGCCTCAGAACTGGGGCGGGGGTCTGGGGCTCCCCCTTCCCCCTCCCGGGGAGGGGGGAGCTGCGCAGACATGCGGCGCGGCTCGTGTGACGTCATGCTTGTTAGTTCGTTTTCCTGGGGGAGTTCTGTCCATTCGTTTGTCGATTTTTGTTGTTAACCAGAATAGGGGTTTGTTTTGTGGTGCTTACCTTTCTGGGTGCCTGTCCCAGTTGATGGCAGATATAGAATGCTCCAAATCACATGTGCATTTCTATGGGCCATTGCTCCCCGTGCCTCTCTGAGGGGGCCAGGATCTGGCTCGTGGTCCCCAGTAGGCCTAGAACTCCACCCACATCGACTGATGCAAAATAGTTAGGGTATTCTTATCAGCCATGGACAGCTCCGGGGAGCCTCCGGGACTCACCCAGAAAATGGCGTTTCATTACATTCAACGCTGGTTTTTTATGTATCCTGCTTCTTGATGTTTCACTAACGCAATGCGTGCATTTGGAGCCAACATGGTGCACGGATGTTCCTTGATTGTGCAGATATGTCCAACAAAATTACGGAATGAACACTAGCCTCATGACAAATCAAAACAATGGGAACAATAGGCCATGACTGACATCACAGGGTAGAGGAACTAGAGTGGTGGTGCCCAACGTGGTCAGTGAGCAAACTAGGCCATCTCCCACCCCGGGCCAGTGCGAGGCTTAGCAGACCACTTCCTCACCCGAACTTAATTCGTGTAGCGTGAAATCCCAAACCCGCCTGGTGCGAGGCTTGGCGGACCACTTCTTCACCCGAACTTAGTTCGTGTAGGTGCTGTGTAGCATGAAACCCCAACCCCAATCGTGAAACAGGAAGTTCCAGATAACTTAAGTTTGCAAACCAAGTGGCTGTCTGTAGTAGTAATGAATTTACAGATATATTTTGGGCATGATTTATCATCAATATACTTGTCTACAGAGATGCAAGCTGGGAATTGGAGCCAAATGCCTTTAGTGAATTACTGGAACGTCCCATCCACTGTGATGCTCCAAAATGCAAGTGCCCCGATGGACGCAAGAGTGATGAAGATGGCTCGTACGTATACTTTTGTAGATTCTTATTATTGTATGCATATTCTAGTTATCAATTTTACCCAATAGGTCCGATGCTATACTTGTGCTTGTGTATTAGTGTCCCGAAGGAAGAAGGACAGAGCCTCGTCGATCTCCACAGGTTACACTCAGTCACTGCTCTCTTTACAGTATTCTTATTGTCGGCTCTATACTCACTTTTCCTCTTAATGAAGTCGGCACTTAATCCCTGCGTACACCAGCCAAAAAAATACAGGAACCTCGCAGCACCACTTGGGACTTACCAAGCTACTTTCTCTACCCAGAGAGCAGGAGTTAGTGGCAGGTGTCTACCTCAGACACCTGGTTATCCAGCTACTTCTGTGATTATCGAGGTTCTCACCTGCACCCAGCGTGGAGGAAATGACGTAAATTCTCTACTCTAGTCTTCTTGAGCATGAGGCTATGTTTCCGATTTCATTTAATCTTTATTCCTGTCCTCAGTACCCCACTGTCAGGCTGTCACATGAATGTGACCTGTCATAACCGAAATTATGATACAGTACATATAAACACAGCATTTAAAAAAAACATTTACTGACTATAGAAATACATAAATAAATAATAATTTCTTGGATAGCCTCAATCAAGTCTGCAATCAACAGCCACTCTCAATCTTTAAAATACTAACGTTACTCTATTCACATGTATAGTCTCAATATATCCTACTTCAAAGTGTGTGTGTGTGTGTGTGTATGTATAATTACCTAAGTGTAGTTACAGGATGAGAGCTATGCTCATGGTGTCCTGTCTTCCCAGCACTCTGTCATATAACACTGAAACTACTGACGATTTTGGCCTCCACCACCTTCTCACCTAATTTGTTCCAACCGTCTACCACTGTTTGCAAAAGGGAATTTTCTTATATTTCTTTGGCATCTTTATTTAGTTAGTTTAAATCTATGACCTCTTGTTCTTGAGGTTCCAGGTCTCGGGAAATCTTCCCTATCAATTTTATCAATTCCTGTTACTATTTTGTACATAGTGATCATAGGAGCCGGTCGGCCGAGCGGACAGCACGCTGGACTTGTGATCCTGTGGTCCTGGGTTCGATCCCAGGCGCCGGCGAGAAACAATGGGCAAAGTTTCTTTCATCCTATGCCCCTGTTACCTAGCAGTAAAATAGGTACCTGGGTGTTAGTCAGCTGTCACAGGCTGCTTCCTGGGGGTGAAGGCCTGGTCGAGGACCGGGCCGCGGGGACACTAAAGCCCCGAAATCATCTCAAGATATCCTCAACAAGATCATATCACCTCTTTTTCTTCTGTCTTCTAGTTTTGGCATATTTAATGCCTCTAACCTCTCCTTGTAGCTCTTGCCCTTCAGTTCTGGGCACCACTTAGTAGCATGTCTTTGCACCTTTTCCAGTTTGTTGATGTGTTTCTTAAGATGTTGATGTGCTTCTTAAGATATGGGCACCACACAACCGCTGCATATTCTAGCTTTGGCCTAATAAAAGTCGTGAACAATTTTTTAAGTATCTCTCCATCCATGTATTTAAAATCAATTCGGAAATTAGAAAGCGTGGCATAGGCTCCTCGCACAACGTTCTTTATGTGGTCTTCAGGTGATAGTTTTCTATCGAGAACCCCCCCCCCCCCGGATCTTTTTCTTTATCAGAATTCTTTAAAGATTCTCACATAATTTATAGGTTGTGTGAGGTCTATGTTCTATTCCACATTCCATAACATCGCATTTATTCACATTAAATTCCATTTGCCAAGTGGTGCTCCATATACTTATTTTGTCCAGGTCTTCTTGAAGGGCATGACAATCATCTAAGTTTCTTATCCTTCCTATTTTCTTGGCATCATCAGCAAACATGATCATATAATTCTGTATACCAACTGGTAGATCATTTATGTAGACAATAAATATCACTGGTGCAAGAACTGAACTCTGTGGTACTCCACTTGTGACATTTCTCCAGTCCGATACATTGCCTCTGATCACTGCCCTCAGTTTTCTATCAGTCAGGAAATTTCTCATCCATGTTAGAAGTGTACCTGTCACCCCTCCAATATTTTCCAGTTTCCAGAACAACCTATTATGTGGAACTCTGTCAAAAGCCTTTTTTAGGTCCAGATAGATGCAGTCAACCCAACCATCTCTTTCCTGTAATATCTCTGTTGCTCGATCATAGAAACTGAGTAAATTCGATACACAGGATCTTCCAGATCGAAAACCATACCGTCTGTCTGATATTATATCATTTCTCTCCAGGTGTTCTACCCATTTAGTTTTTATTATTTTTTCTAATATTTGCACTATTACACTTGTCAATGATACAGGTCTGTAATTGAGGAGGGTCTTTCCTGCTGCCACTCTTGTAGATTGAAACTATGTTAGCCTTTTTCCACACGTCCGCTAAGACTCCTGTACACTGGAATGCCTGAAAAATGAGGTGAAGTGGAATTCTGAGCTCAGATGCACATTCTCTCAGAACCCATGGTGAAACTCCATCTGGGCCAACTGCTTTGTTGTTACTTAGCGCCTATATTTTCCACTTCATCTCAAGACACCTCTATACACTCTGTTGTTCTCTGGCATTCTTATTGTGTCTGTACAAAATGAAATCTTCAGAGAACCAAACACACTTTGGAATTTTTCGTTTAAAGTTTCACACATTTCCTTTTTATTTTCTGTGAATCTGTTTCCCATTTTCAACCTCTGGATATTATCTTTTACCTGCAATTTGTTGTTTACGAATTTGTAGAATAGGCCCAGTTCTGTTTTACATTTATCCACTATCCCTTTTTCAAAATTTCTTTCTGCCTCTCTCTCCTTACTGCCGTATAGTTGTTTCTCGCATCTTTGTATCACTGGTATGTTTGAGGGTTTGGCCTCTTCCTATACTGATTCCATTTTTGTGTCCTTTGGTCTCTGGCCCTCTCACAATTTCTGTTGAATCAGTCCTGTTTTCTGGCCCTGTATCTCTGTTATGGTATGAATGTTTGTGTGCCTTCATCGTATATTTTGCAAAATTTGGCATACATTTCATTTACTTCCCTGCCTAGCAGCAAGTCTGTCCAATTACACTCATTAAAAATTTTTCAAAGTTCCTCATAGTGACCTCTCCTTAAATCGAGTTGATCAACTGTTTCAATGTCCCCATTTTCTTCTACATGATATCTTAAAGCATATTTAATGTCTAACAGGACATGATCACTCTTTTCCAAGGGAGGACGGTACTGGATGTCAAATATGTCTTCTTCTTTCCTGGTGAATACTAGATGCAATACTGACGGTGCATCTCCTTCCCTCCCCATGTTGCCTGCTTGATGTGTTGCTACAAGAATGTCTCCAGAATGAGGTTCACAAATCTGCATGTCCAAAAGTTCTCCGTTCTTGCTTCATACGCCTCCCAGTCTATTGCTTTAAAGTTGAAGTCCCGCAGTATCAACAGTCGTAATTTATCTTTATCTGCTTGTACTATAATATATCTCATGACCATTATGAGGCCCTCTCGTTTGTCATCCAGTTCTTCCTTTGTCCATGTGTTGCTTGCTGGTGGGCTGTAGGCATTTAAAATTATCAACTTATCCTGATTCCAGACCTCCAATACCATTATGTCAATATCTCGATTGTTTTAAAATATTAACTCTCTTACCTTCAGGTGTTCTTTCACCAGCACAGCCACTCCTCCTCCCTTCCTAGTTTCCTGTAACGTCTCCAAACTGAATAGCCCCTTGGGAATACAGCTTCATTTAATATATTTCCTTCAAGTATCATCTCTGATAATGCGACAATATCTGGGACCTTAAGCTGAATTATATCTTGCAACTCCAAAGTTTTTGACCTCACTCCATCTATGTTGGTATATACAATTTTCAGGAACATGTTCCCTTTCCCTTTGCTCTTTACTCCCCCCCTTCCACAAATGATTTTGTTGCCTTGTTTTCATGTACCATTTCACAAGCTTTCCAGTCCCCGTCACTTTGTAGAAAAAAGAATTTGTCTTCATTTCTATCCCCATTTAGATGTTTTTCTTCAATGAAGTTCATTTTCAGCTTTTTTCTATCTACCTTTGAGAGGTCTTGTCTTATTGACCAAAGTTTGCCACCTTCATCACTCTGCAATTTCCTGGCATTTCTAAGTACTCTCATCATGTTTTTCATTCCATTAAACGTCACTCTTGAAGGGGCGGTTCTTGTCTCTCACATTTTCCTATTCTCCTAAAATCACTGATATTTTCCTCTGAGCCTTCTCCTAAACCTATTATTTTCTCAATGATTTTCATCTCTTCTGCTGCTCAGTCTACCCTAGATGAAATTTCCTTCTCTAAACATCCAAAAATTATTATGGACTTACTTCTATCTGCAGTGTTTTGTACTAGTTTACTGTTGGTAACCAGTTCTTTCCTAATTGCTTTTCTAATTTCTGCTTCTTGCTGGTCATTTCTGGTTTTGACTTCCGAGCACACTTCCTTGATTGTCTCTTTCTCTTTTACAACTTGTGTATACATCTCTTTTTATTTCTTCTTTATACTTTTCTAGTTCTTTTTTTAACCTCCTCTATTTGAGTTGCCAAGGAAGTTTCTTGTTGCATCTCCTTGCCTAACTCCATGTTAGCCCTCAAGGTCCCTTGGAGTTGTTCACTATATGAGTATTTTCTTGCTAATTTCTTCAAATTCCCTACTCTTTACTTTTCATGCCTCATTATCCTGTACTAGTTCCTTGATGTGTTCCTCCTGCATTCTCACCTTATCAGCCAAGCTGGTAATTTCCTTACCTTGCTGGAAAATACTTTTAAATTACAAAACTCAATCTTCAGACCTTCATTTTCTTGTTCTAATTTAATAACCTTTTCTTCATAATTCTTTAGCATGTCCTCAATTAATCACTAACCTGCCAAGAAAACACCTTTCATTGCATCTTGTGAGAAACCTGCAAAAGATTCCTTTGTTGGGGTACTGTCCTCCCCTGTGGTGATACCTGCTTGATACCTGCTTGATGGGGTTCTGGGAG